CACTGCAAGATGTGAGGTTGCAGGAAACTAGGTAGAGAGCCTTCTTGGTGGTGACGCCAGCCCTGTGGAACGCCCCCTCATCAGATGTCAAGGAAATAAACAACTATCTGACTTTTAGAAGACATCTGAAGGCAGCCCTGTTTAGCGAAGTTTTTAATGTTTGATGTTTTATTCTGTTTTTAATCTGTTCGGAGCTGTCCAGAGTGGCTGGGGAAACACAGCCAGGTCGACTGTGATTAATTTACTACTATAAATTAGTAGTAGTAGTAGTACTGGGTGGTGCTGTGGGTTAAACCACAGAGCCTAGGACTTGCCGATCAAAAGGTTGGCGGTTCGAATCCCCGCAACGGGGTGAGCTCCCTTTGCTCGGTCCCTGCTCTTGCCAACCTAGCAGTTTGAAAGCACGTCAAAGTGCAAGTAGATAAATAGGCACCGCTCCGGCGGGAAGGTAAACGACGTTTCCGTGCACTGCTCTGGTTTACCAGAAGCGGCTTAGTCATGCTGGCCACATGACCCGGAAGCTGTACGCTGGCGCTCTCGGCCAATAAAGTGAGATGAGCGCCACAACCCCAGAGTCGGTCACGACTGGACCAAATGGTCAGGGGTCCCTTTACCTTTACCTTAGTAGTAGTATTACACGCACCAGTGCTCAGACGCCGCTTGAGCCTCAGTCCCTGGCAGAGTGAGGTAGCTTTCATGAACGTGACTAGCCCTGGCTTGGATATTATGCACTTTGCATGCAGTTGTTCTGCCTCAGGCAGCAAAATGTCTTGGGCAGACCTTTGTGGTCACTGTGGTTGTGGTTATTACTAGTGTGGAAAGAGAAGTGGACAGTAGGACATTGAGGTTGAAAGATGAGCAGTGGAAGAGAGGGATTCAGGACCCTAGAAATGTTGCAGGTTTTGCCCTTGGTAACGGACCTTGTAGTTTACAAATACAATTCTGAAATGTTGGTTTAACAGCAGAAAGGCTCTTTCTTCTGGTGAGATGAGATTACCCAGGCTGACTGAATGCCAAGGGTGCTGTTGAAGCACACTGACCATTAAAAGCAACAGATTTACTTCTTTCCACAGATAGCAGAATATTCTCGGAGCAGATGGTATCTCTGTTTGCCAACTCAGTGAAATGTTGGCAGCTGAGCATTTCTTTAATAGCAACATCAACATCAGTTTTAGAGGTGAGTCCTTTTTTGCTTCCTTGTTCGTTGGTTTCCATGACGTCTAGAAAGCTATGACAACCAGAATAATAGAGCAATGGTTATCATTATTTCCCTGTGACATTCTTTAAGCAGATTAAAGTTAGGGGAAGTGGAATTATTAGCTTGCATCTATATTTAAAGTAGGGGTTGTATTATTGCATAGACTGCTTCGTACAAAAAGCTGCAATTGTGGAATTACTCATAAACAAAGTTTACAAAATAAAATATGGATAACACACAACACTGTATATATTTAGAAAATGAAAATAACTACTGCCCAAAATCTTATATGTATGTGTGTGCATTCTGTCAGTGGTCTTCAAAAGTTGTTGGACTACAACTCCCATCATCCCCAGGCAGTTTAGCCAATGGTCAAGGATGATGGGAGCTGAACTCCAATGACATCTAGAGGGCCAAGGTTGAAGAGCACAGCTTTAAAGTGACCAGGAAACAGAAACCCAGGTGTAGGTATTTTTGTTGTTTAGTCATTTAGTCTTGTCCGACTCTTCGTGACCCCATGGACCAGAGCACGCCAGGCACTCCTGTCTTCCACTGCCTCCCGCAGTTTGGTCAAACTCATGCTGGTAGCTTCAAGAACACTGTCCAACCACCTCGTTCTCCTTGTGCCCTCCATCTTTCCCAACATCAGGGTCTTTTCCAGGGAGTCTTCTCTTCTCATGAGGTGGCCAAAGTATTGGAGCCTCAGCTTCACGATCTGTCCTTCCAGGGAGCACTCAGGGCTGATTTCCTTCAGAATGGAGAGGTTGGATCTTCTTGCAGTCCATGGGACTCTCAAGAGTCTCCTCCAGCACCATAATTCAAAAGCATCCATTCTTCGGCAACCAGCCTTCTTTATGGTCCAGCTCTCACTTTCATACATCACTACTGGGAAAACCATAGCTTTAACTATACGGACCTTTGTTGGCAAGGTGTAGGTATTAGCAAGCCTGATTTCCAATGGCTGAAACTACCTGGAGGTGGAACATTGGTTTGTTTGTTTGTTTACTGAAAACAGAGGCTTATCTAGGGGTTGGCCAGCTTGGTGCCCGCCAAGAATGCAGGCCCAAGATGGCACAAAAATCACACCTCTCCACTCTGACTCAGAGTGGCTAGGAGCCTAGTCTCTCATCTGCACGCTCCCTGGGCTGCTCTTCTGTAGCTCTGGGCGGCTGGGTGATATGCACAGGGTCCTCTGGGCGCCTCAGCAGAGGAATTTGGTTGGTGGTGTGGACCACTGCAGGCTCCTCTTCCCAGTTGGTTGGCAGTGCTATCATACTGTCCAATAGAACCGCTCTGTTCTGCCTTGGTCAGACCATACCTGGAACACAGTGTTACCTCAGGTTAAGTACTTAATTCGTTCCGGAGGTCCGTACTTAACCTGAAACTGTTCTTAACCTGAAGCACCACTTTAGCTAATGGGGCCTCCCGCTGCCGTTGTGCCGCCAGAGCACGATTTCTGTTCTTATCCTGAAGCAAAGTTCTTAACCTGAAGCACTGTTTCTGGGTTAGCGGAGTCTGTAACGTGAAGCGTATGTAACCCGAGGTACCACTGTACTATGCCCGGTTCTGGGCGCTACAATTTAAGAAGCATGTTGACAAGCTGGAACGTGTGCAGAGGAGGGCAACCAAGATGATCAAGGGTCTGGAAACCAAGCCTTATGAGGAACGGTTGAAGGATTTGGGTATGTTTATCCTGGAAAAGGGGAGACTGAGAGGAGATATGATAGCCCCCTCAGATCCGCCACTGCCACACCCCGTGTGACCTCACAGCTTGTTTCCCGCCTGCTCAGGCTGCTTCAGCCCGCCATTGCTGCCCAACACACCCACCCCACTGCCTTATCTTTGCCGGCTGGACTCACTCCTCCTCTTCCTCCGCTGTCACCACCGCCACCACCATGACAAGGCCACTGCCGCTCCAGGTTAAAGAAGGGGGATTCGAAAAAGCTACTCTAAACTGGACCTTGATTTTTCTCAACCCACCAACGGAAGTTGGCCCCGTCACTTACAAAGTAAGATCTCTGAGAGCGAACTGTCAGAGTGCAAAGATAGACTAGGCTAAAATATTTCCCACTGATTACTTACACAAGCAACAAGAAGCCAATATCTGGGTCCTTTCCAACCCGATCTTTTAAGAGGTTGGAGCTACAGTGGTTGAAAAGGTATTTGCTGGGGGAACCAGCAGCATTTATTCCACTGATCCTGTCAAGTTCTCTGCAATTATTAGCCGAAATGAGAGCAAAGGTTTCCTCCCCCTGGCATGTGGAAGATGGTTGGGATTAGAGGCTAAGAGTTATCCTTTTTGAGGCTTGAGAAGGAGACAAGCCACTGGAACTGATAAACCCCTTGTCAGGGATTAGCTTGCAATACTGGCAGATAACGTTTCCTTGCCTTGCTTCCAGGGATCACTGCATTTCATTGGTCCAAGCTTGCCAGGCTTAGCAAATAACAACTCTTCTTGCTCTGAACTCCATTTTTTAATTGTGGGAGGGGGGTGTTGCAGAAGAGTGACAGCAAAATACACAAAAGCAGAGATGTCGTAGTGGACCCTAAGAACAATATTGGTACAGGGTAGCCATATGATAATAAATAATAATAATATTTTTTTATTTATACTCCGCCCTTCCCAGTTCAAAAACCGGGCTCAGGGCAGCTAACAACAAATTTAAAACACTTAATTATAAAGGCAGCATAAAATACAGTATAAAAACATGAATAACCATAAAATTCAAAAATCAAAAATCAATTTGTGGGAAATAAGCATTAGATAATCCCCAGGGCTAGCTGGCTGAATTGGTCCTACTTGGGCCAACGAGGAGGCCAGTGGAGAATTAGCTGTGGGGTCTCAGAGTGGGTGATCTTCATAAAAGGGGAGGGAAGAGAAGGGAAATAAAGAATCAGGCTGAATTCAAATTAAAGGCCAGGCAGAATAGCTCTGTCTTACAGGCCCAACGGAAGGAGGTTAAATCCTGAAGGGCCCTAGTCTCATGGGACAGAGAATTCCACCAGGTCAGAGCCATCACCAAAAAGGCCCTGGCCCTGGTGGAGGATAGTCTGACTTCCTTAGGGCCCGGGACCTCTAAACTATGGTTATTCATGAACCTTAAGGTCTTCTGTGGGGCCCTCCATGGAATTGCTACTGGGTTACAATGCCAATTGTCCTTGGCAACTGGCCGTCCAGCATGGGGCTGATGGCAGTTGTGCAGTCTGACAATACCTGGAGGGAACTTTGTTGCCTTAATACCTGCTTGGCATAAGCAACGCTTCTCTTCACCTCACTCCATTGCCAGAGACAATTGCTGGGACCTTCAGGCAGAGAGTGTTATGGTAGGATGCGGGTGGCGCTGTGGTCTAAAACCACTGAGCCTCTTGGGCTTGCCAGTCAGAAGGTCGGCGGTTCGAATCCCCGCAACTGGGTGAGTTCCCCAACTCCTGCCAACCTAGCAGTTCAAAAGCACATCAAAGTGCAAGTAGATAAATAGGTACCACTCTGGCGGGACGGTAAATGGCGTTTCCATGCGCTCTGGTTTCCATTACAATGTCCCGTTGCGCCAGAAGTGGTTTAGTCATGCTGGCCACATGACCCGGAAAGCTGTCTGTGGACAAACGCCAGCTCCCTCGGCCTGAAAGTGAGATGAGTGTCACAACCCCATAGCCACCTTTGACTGGACTTAAGCATCCAGGGGTCCTTTACCTTTACCTTTAACTTACTGCTTGCATGTCCGACTAGCTGGCCACTGTAAGAACAGGATACTGGATGGTGTTCTTCCCATGTTGTTGGGTTGAAATCACGACAGACGAATGGTGGGTGTCAAAGGAGAGGCGTCTGCCCGGGGCAAGTCCCGGGAACTCTCTTTTATTGAATATTACAAACATTGCCACAGGTGTGCTTGTGGCTGATTGGTTGATACAAACACAAAGCATCTTGTTGCTGATTGGTTAACATAGGTACAAGGCGGGAATAACATATGTACATTAATCAGTGATAGTTCAAAAGACTGGGAACGGAGCTGGAACTAGACAGGCATGAATCCTCCTAATTAAATTGTAACTAAAGATTGATATTGAGAGAACATAACATGAAGGAATACAACAATCACGTTCCGTAAATGTGGTCAGCAATGCATTAAGAACAGGTCAGGATACACTGTTTCATGAACTCAATGGGAACTGTTCAGAACATTCTCAGACTTATGTGCAGAGGCAAAAACTTCCCAGAATGTAAGAGGAAAGAAGCAAGAGTTTTCATAGTAAGCATAGAAAGATTGCATAGTAAGACTTCCCATAATGCCACAGTTATGTGCAGTAAGAGAACTGCAGAAAGAGAACTTCCCTTCATCTCCCCCTTTCTTTTCTTGTTTGCGAGGCATTCCAGGTGGATAAGGCAAAAATACTTCGGGATTAGTGGTGTGCCAGCGAATGCCCGAAATAAGCCTGCCAGGGTCGATGGGACAAAAGTACTTCAGGATACGTGGTTTGCCAGCGCATGCCCAAAATAAATCCGCCCACATCTCCCCTAAGGTTTACTGTTGGTGTTGCCATTTCGCAATGTAAGCAGCAAGCAGTTTGCTGGGTGGTGGAGGGGGGGAGAGAAGCCGAGAGAAAAGACTCATGAGGCTGGGAACGCATTGGAGGAAACAGCATAGTAAAATAAAAATAGAAATTATGAAAATAGCATATTGAAAGAGACTACGAAGCCAAGTAAGGTTAGGCAACCAAGCAGTAAGCCACTGGGTGAAAGAATCCCAGAGGCCAGAAAATCCAACGTCCTGTTTAATGTGATGTGTAAGATTTTGCAAATGAGAGATTTGGCTTTGAATGGCTCTAGAATTGTCAGTAATATTGAAACAACACATGTCATTCACTTGTTCACAGCCGTAATGATGAAGCATCAGCAAATAGTGATAGCAGCACGATTTCGTAAAAGTCCATTATATAGTTCACTCTGTTCTTTATTCAAAAGGGGGTTATATAATGTAAAAAGTCCATTTTGTAAAAGGATTTTGTAAAAGTCCATTGTGGAGTGCACTGTTCTTTATTCAAAAGGTGAAGGGCTTGTGAAATATAATTCAGAGTTTTTGCTGCATAACAAACTAAAGAAGTAATGTTCATACGATTCCGTACAGCCAATCCAGGGACTCCTAAGAGAGAAACAGCTAAAGAGATATATTCAGACCTACTGAGAAGAGAGACAAAAGCATCACAATCATTAGTCAATTCAATATTGCAGCGATATCGAGAGCGGGATAAATGATGCTTCTTGGGTAAAATGATGGACAAACGGCTTAAACAGCAAGGTGTGCCATGGCTGATGTATTGCTGGAATGTAATTAAACTTATAGCCAGGACACGACCAGAAGATTTCCAGTTGAGGGGAAGTGCAAGCTTACTCATTAAATTGAATGGTAGCTTGTAATTGTTGTAGCAAATCTCTTCCCCACAGATTGAGGTGGATTTTCAGCACACAGGGCTGGATGTAAGCAATGGTTTCAGAGCTATCAGGCAGAGAAACAGGCAGCCACTGTACGCTTTTGGAAGAGGTTTGGGGCCACCCACACCCCAGACTGCAGAAGCAGACTCAAGGGGCCACGTGGGGTCCCAGCAACTACTAGAAATTACAGAAACGTCTGCGCCTGTGTCAATCAAGCCTTCCAGCACAATACCATTGATTTTATACTTACGAAGAAGTTTCTTCTCACCAATCCTCTGGACTACAGCTAACAGCTGTGGAGGGAAAGAAGAGAGCTCGTGCAAATTAGTATCCATAATAGAAGCAGTAGGATGAGAAGGGAGCACCACCAAATGCGCCCAAGACTCACCCATTTTAATTGCATGGGCATATGGCTCCAGAGTTGAACCATTATTGTGCCTACATAGTCAGGATCCAGAACTCCAGGAATAACCTGGATGCCTTCCTTTGCCGCAGAAAATTTGGGTAAAATTAAACCTGCGACTTTAGGAGGCAGGGGACCTGCCAATTGAGTGGGCATAAGCACAATTTCACCAGGTAGAACAGAATCTTTGGTCTCTTGATTGATCAAATCAATTGCAAATTCAGAGGGTGTGTTCTTTGAAAAGTTTGCAGCAGCAGAAATTAAAGGCGGAAAGCTCTCTAATTTTCCTGGGCTCTCTAATTTTCCTGGCCCGAGAGCGAGGCCGGGATGGAGTTTCCGAACTCCTGCATTGATTAGCCCAATGATAGCCTTTGCCACATTTCGGGCATTTTTAGAAGGTCTAGCCTTAGAGGCAGAACCATCCTTGTGTGCCCCCCGCCTGGGGCTCTGCATTGCTTGGCAAAATGGCCTGGGCGCTTGCAATTAAAGCAGTTACCAGTAGGCTTAGTGGTTGCTTGGATTGCGCCGGCAAGCAAGGACATCGCATGGCTCTGGCTACCGACATCCGCACAAGCTTGAATCATATCGGCCAGTTCATATTTAGGGCGATGTATGATTGACTGCAAAGCTTTCTTGCAATCAGTGTTTGCGTTTTCAAAGGCCAATTTTTTCATCAATTCATTTTGAGCAGTGGTGTTATCAATCTGCCTAGTGACTGATTCTTTCAATCTATCTATAAACTGATGGTATGGCTCCGAATGCTGTTGCTTAATATTTACAAAGGAGCTCAGCGGTTGCCCAGAAACAGGGACTTTCCGAAAGGCGCGTTGTACACAGGTCGCGGTGCGAACAAAATGTACAGGTGTCAGTGTTGCTTGGGCAGTTATATCAGCAAACTGACCAGCACCATAAAGTTCATTGGCAGTATGTTGAGGATCAGACAGGGCTGAAGCGCTATGTTTAAATTCACTCTCAAACACCACATACTGAGCAGGGGACAAAAGCATGCGCATAAGGTCTTTCCAGTCCTGAGGTAGCATAATGTAACCAGTTGCTATGCCTTCTAGCATCCCTGTCACATAAGAGGATTTCAGACCAGAATCAGCAATGGCTTTCCTTAATTCCCTCATTACAGAATAAGGAAGCGATTCATAATAAATCTGCTGTTGAGCAGTTCCAGGGTTTGAATAAGAGATAGGGAAAGCAGACGGCATTTCACCTGGCCACTCAGACTCCTCCTCTAAGGACAGGAGCCCTTTTGCCTTGCCAGAGAGAGCGCAGCACGCACAGCTCCTATAGAGCAAACAGGGGCTGTGGCAGGAGGAGGAGGGATGGGGGGGAGGAATCAGGCTGAGGCGGAGGGATGGGGGGAGGATGCAGGCTGAGGAGGGTGAGAAGCAGGGAGGGATTGGCTGGGAGAAGGAGGTAAAAGTTTCGGGTAGGGTGGGGGCTGTCTGCAATGGCCAGAAGAGGAGACGCCTGGGGTCCCAATTGGGGCCCTAATTTAGCAACGGCATCAGCACATTTCTGCCAAGTGAGCAGACAATGAATCGGAGCCCTAGGTTCTGCAAAAGGGTCTTTCCGATCTTTGCCAAGTCTCTACGTCCAAAGATCCAGCCTCTGGATAAAAGATGCATTGGGAATTTATCTCACATAGCAATTGTTCAATTTCTTTTAAGGAAATATTAACACCCACCTCCCGCTGTCTAACTAAATAAAGCAACTCTTTAGCATGCTCTTTCTGGAGCTTAGTCAAGTCCCCTCCCATACTCACGAAGTAGCGCGCTGAGACTTTTCCAGTCGGGTGAAGTATGAGGTTTGGCTGCGTAAGGGATCTGGCACGTCGGGGTCACCAGATGTTGGGTTGAAATCACGACAGACGAATGGTGGGTGTCAAAGGAGAGGCGTCTGCCCGGGGCAAGTCCCGGGAACTCTCTTTATTGAATATTACAAACATTGCCACAGGTGTGCTTGTGGCTGATTGGCTGATACAAACACAAAGCATCTTGTTGCTGATTGGTTAACATAGGTACAAGGCGGGAATAACATATGTACATTAATCAGTGATAGTTCAAAAGACTGGGAGCGGAGCTGGAACTAGACAGGCATGAATCCTCCTAATTAAATTGTAACTAAGATTGATATTGAGAGAACATAACATGAAGGAATACAACAATCACGTTCCGTAAATGTGGTCAGCAATGCATTAAGAACAGGTCAGGATACACTGTTTCATGAACTCAATGGGAACTGTTCAGAACATTCTCAGACTCTTGTGCAGAAGCAGAGAGAAGATTATAAGCGAGACTTCATAGCAAGACTTCCCAGAATGCAAGAGGAAAGAAGCAAGGGTTCTCATAGTGAGCATAGAAAGATTGCATAGTAAGAGTTCCCATAATGCCACAGTTATGTGCAGTAAGAGAACTGCAGAAAGAGAACTTCCCTTCATCCCACCTTGGATTGATTTCACAAGAGAGAAAAGGCACTTGCCGTACACTTTGACTGCCTTCCATGTCAACAAGGGGTAACGCATAGTGAGATGGGCAGCTGTGGTGCTCAAGATGTGCTTCTGACTAAACATCAGGAAGAACTTTCTGAGGGTTAAAAGGTGCTCGTCAGTGGTCTCCCTCAGGAGGTGGTGAACTCCCTTCCTTGGAAGTTTTTAAGCAGAGGTTGGGTAGCCATCTGTCATGGGTGCTTTAGCTGAGATTCCTGCAGAGCAGGAGGGTTGGACAAGATGACCCTTGGAATCCCTTCCAACTCTACAATTCTCTCTCTCTCTCTCTCTCTCTCTCTCTCACACACACACACACACACACACACACTTAAAATACTCATTTTACATCCTTAAGATATCAATGACTTCCCTTCTTCCATGGTTCATTTTACATATCATAAATCCCTGGATATTTTACAAAAACTATACCATTCAGCATTCCATTATTGCATCCATCAAAACTTGTTTACACTGTTGAATTTATCTTAATGCTGCCAGCGTTTTCAGCTGTATACAATTATTTCCCATATATTCAATAAATGTTTCCCAATCTTCTTTAAACGTATGTTCTTCTTGTTCTCTTATTCTGTATGTTAAGTCTGCAAGTTGTATATATTCCGTCAACTTGAGCTGCCATTCTTCTTTGGTTGGGACCTTGCTCGTTTTCCATTTTGGGGCTAACAAAACATGGGCCGCAGTAGTGGCATACATAAATAACCTCTTTTGACACCTGGGAATTTCAGTCTGAATTCTCCCCAACAGAAAAGACTCTGTGTTGTTGTTTTTTTGGGGGGGGAGTACTTTTAAACTTTTTTTTTTCCAATTCATTATGGATCATTTCCCAATACTATATCCTTTTACCCTTTTACAAGTCAACTCTACGATTCTATGATTCTATGTTGCTGGACTCCAGCTACCATCTGTCCCAGCCAGTATAGCAAATGGTCCTGGATGATGGAAATAGTAGGTTCAGGGGTTAAGGCTTAAGTTGTGATGCTAGGCTAGATTAGGTGAGGTCAGGCACAGGCTGGACAAGATAGACTCTGCAAAACTGCTGTGTGCTTAGGATCTGCACTTAATGGTGGAAGGTTAGATTGTAATGAGTGGAAAATAGATTTAAAATTTACAGATTGTTCTCTTTTAAAAGAAAATTATATGAAAATGATGTATAGATGGTACATAACACCAGTACAGATAGCAAAAATGTACAAAACCGGGTCAAACACATGTTGGCAATGTAAATAAGAGGAAGGGACTTTTTATCATATGTGGTGGGAATGTAGAGAATTTTTTAAAAAATAGGAAATGATATCTAATAAATTGAATAAAATGTTTAAAATGGCATTTGTAAAAAAACCAGAAGCATTTTTGTTAGGGATTGTAGGACAAGACCTGCCAAGGAAAATAAAGAATCTGTTTATGTATGCTACAACAGCAGCAAGAGTCTTGATAGCACAAGGATGGAAGAATGAGGAAACCCCGGCAAAAGAAGAGTGGCAAGAGAAATTGATGAACTATGCAGAACTGGCTAAACTGACATACAAACTGCGAGATAAGGACAACTGTGACTTCAGAGAAGAATGGGAACTCTTTACAAATTATCTAAAAAGACAACAACATGAACTGGACTCCTTGGCAGGTTTTGAATAAACATACACAAATCTATTGATGGCTAATATAGTAGATAGATAATATAAGGATTTATACAATTTTACAGTATGCAGAGAACAATATGTGTTGAGAAATCAGAGAGAGGAGCTGAGGGAAGTCTTGGGGGGAAGGGAGGAGGGTTTGTTGGGGAGTTGGGGGGGGAAATAATGAGGATGATATGTTCTGATATTTTGTTATGTTGTAATTGTTAATTAATTTTTTTAAAAAAGATTGTAATGAGTGGTGTGCAGAGAATTTCTTTGTAGGGGAACAGTTTGGGTCAGAGGTGCCAGCTTGTAGGGCGCAGTTGGGGGAGTGACGTCACAATGTCACATGTGGGAGCATTGCATCTCCCTTCCTAATCTGGACAGAAGCTTGGGGGGGGGGGCTGACGTTAACATATGAGAGTGCTGGAGATGAAATAGTTAAAGAAGTTACCCAATCAGAACCCAGGGGGGTGGAGTCAGAGGGACTATAAAACCAGCTCTGGGAGGGGCGAAGGGAGGAGTTCGTTGGGAGTTGGGTGGAGTGGGAGTGAATTGGGATAGAGTCTGTGGGTAGGTTGAGTTAGTGTAGCGAAATAAGCTGAGTCAGGAACAGTTAGGAGCTAGGAAATATCTGAGAGGTGGTTTAGTGAGTGAGAGCAGGTAGCGGAAGTTATAGGTCTGGATAGGCACCCCATGGTTGTAATTGACCGATACCGTTTATGAAACCACACGCTTGTTAAACTGCAATAAATAAAAGGAAGTTTATGTTCCAATTTAACCCTGATTGGACTCAGTATTGTACCAGGTAGGGCCTGGGTGGTGGCAGCGAGAAATAAAGTGGTGGCACGGGGATCAGGTGACGGTGAAACGTCCAGGGACCCTGTGTGATCGCCATAGGGGGTGTTAGAAAGCAATAAAGAAAGAGGGAAAATTAAAGAAAGAGAAAGAGAGAGAGAGAGAGAGAGAGAGAATTCAGAAGGTAAGGTAACCTTTGTTGGGTGTCATATTGGAGTTGATGAAGTTTCTATAGAGAGGACAGATGAAAAATCAGAAGTCCTTTACCTTTTATTTCTGTCTCACAGATTTCTGGCTTTAACTGAGCATTCAATCAGTGGCCTCCCTCCTTGCCCCCCATTACATTCTCCTGTCGTCAAACCTCGGGGCTTTAACAAGTTACAACTATATAAGATGTCCTTTTCATTTCATTTCAGCTAATTGATGCAATAAATTACAGAGTCTTTACGTTGGCCAGGTGCCAACTACTAATGTAATTAGGTGTGGGAATTCCAAGCACTTTCAAGCATTAATGTGTCACCATAAATAATGCAGAATTGGAAGCTGCTTGGATTTTTGCTGCATCCGGATACGTTCAATATTGCATAGATTAGTCCCAAGATTGTATTGATTCTTGCAGCGTTCCTGGTACCAGCAGAGCCAAGCAATGTTCCCATTTTCTTGGCCAACGTCCACAGAAAAGCATTGGGATTTTATCATCTAGATGTTTGGTGACACAGTTCTGAGTGCATTCAACTTATGTAAATAACCAGGCAGCTTGCAAGATGATGCAAGCCTTTTCGCTCTAAGGATGGTAACCATAGTATTACCTATAATTTGCAAGCTTAAAATATAAATAATTTCATGTTTCTACAGGGGGAATAGGGAGCGTTGACAGGCAAAGACCGAAAGGTCAGAGAGAAGATCTTGTCTTAGTTTCTAATTGATGAATGTGTGTTCAGATTTATTAATTTATTTGAGCATTTTCATTCTGCCTTTTAGGGCAAAAAAAAAAAAAATCCTTTCTTGGGAGGTTCAAAGATACAATAAAAATATAGAATACATATTAGTTGAAATCCCAGCATAAGAGCACTTGACTCTAAGACAATATAATACAATACAAGTACAGTGGTGCCCCGCAAGACAAATGCCTCGCAAGACGGAAAACCCGCTAGACGAAAGGGTTTTCCATTTTTCGATGCGCTTCGCAGGACGAATTTCCCTATGGGCTTGCTTCGCAAGACAAAAATGTCTTGCGAGTCTTGAGATTTTTTTCGCTCCCCCCCCCTTTTTCCAAGCCGCTAAGCCGCTAATAGCCTTTTAGCTGCTAAGTCGCTAAGCCTTTAATAGCCGCTAAACCGCTAATAGCGCTAATCCGCTAAGCCGCTAATAGGGTTGCTTCGCAAGACGAAAAAACCGCTAGACGAAGAGACTCGCGGAACGGATTAATTTCGTCTTGCGAGGCACCACTGTATAATACAAGAGTTGATTTCTTGCAGTGTTTTGAGCTCTACTCTGAGCCCTTCTGTTTCTGTACTTTCCCCACCAAAATGCCAGAATGGGTTTCTGATTGTAGTCTAGGAACATACTAGCTGCAATTTCAGAGAACCATACACAGAGAAATCTTTGTGTGCAGCTGGTGCTTTTGTTTACATTGGTGTGGCTGCCACCCCCCCCCCCGGGCCACTACCAAATGCAACCCCTATTTTACACACATGGAACTGGAAATGTGGCTTGTTTATTGGAAGAGACATCTAGAGGCCATGTGTGGTTCAGTTTGCAAACTCAGGTGAACATAGGTGCTTGAGACCCAGTGATGCTCAGGTGTTGAAGAAGCGTTTCCAGAGCTTAAACCTGCCAAAAAGTTCTCAATTAAGATGTGTGGGGACTAAATGTGATTACTGAGAGCTTTGGCAAATGAACTCTACACATGCTCAAGAATATAACATATAAAATGTATTATATTATGGGGAAATTGCTGTGCAAATAGATGCATTTTAGGCGAAACTGC